AGAGAGAGAGAGAGAGAGAGAGAGAGAGAGAGGGGGAGAGAGAGAGAGAGAGAGAGAGAGGGGAGAGGGAGAGGGAGAGGGAGAGAGAGACCGCAGAGAGAGGCACTCCCACACGAGCCTCACGGGGCGCCCCCTTGTGCAATGTCACCCACCACGGCCGGCCAGCAAGTGCGAGCTATGGGTGCCCAAACCGCCCCTCGGAGCATCTACGAGGGTCGCCGGGCTTGCCGCCGCGCACGTAGTGCTTCTGGCCGTCCATCTCGAGCGCGGCCGACGTCTCGCCTGTGGACGTGTCTCTGAACGGTCTCGGAACTGTCGCGGACATGTCCCCTCTCGAGCGCGGCCGACGTCTCGCCGTACATCTCGAGGAGGTGTCTAGGAAGTGTCTAGGAAGTGTCTAGGAAGCGTCTCGCCGTACATCTCGAGGAAGCCGATCACCAGGAGAATCTGCGCCTTGCCCGCCGTGGGCAGCGCGTCCCACTGGTCGGCCTAATTAGTCACTTGATTAATGAATGAGTTAGCGTCCCGCTGGTCGTCCTGCGGCGGTACAGAGCACCGCGTGAGGACACGGGCTGCGAAGACGTGCAATGTCTAGGAAGTGTCGAGGAAGTGTCTGGGAAGTGTCTAGGAAGTGTCACCGGCCCGCCCGCGGCGGCAATGTCGCCAAACGACACGGCGGGCAGGTCGTAGCCGGCGAACTGGCCTAGACACTTACCAGACACTTCCTAGACACTTCCCACACACGGCGGGCAGGTCGCAGCTGGCGAAGTGGCCCTGGATGCCCCAGGGGAAGTGGACCCCGTTGGACTGGAGGCAGTAGCCGACGAAGCCCGCCATCGCCACGCGGCCGTGCCTAGGAGGTGTCTCGGAAGTGTCGTAGAAGTGTCCTTGGAAGCCCGCCATCGTAGCGCGGCCGCGCTTGATCTCCGCGTGGCGGAACCAGCCGATGGTCTCGGGCGAGGCGTCGTCGACGATGCCGAGCGGGTCCCAGAAGCCGATCGTCGGGTTGAGCTCTGTCGCGGGGACGGCGAGGGCGCAGGGTGCTGCGGTGCGAGGGCACGCGGCTGGGGAGAAGCGGCGGGACAGCGGCGCACTCTCGGCGAGGGCAATCATGCCGGCCTTGTCCGAGATCTCGGTCGAGGTCGCCCAACCGTTATCGAGAGTTCCCTCAGAGAACTGCAGAGCGGGCGGCGTCAACGTGAGTGCGGCTGGGCTCTGCGAGGACTGAGTTCCCAGGCTGGCGGTGGTGCAGCCAGGCTGGCGGTGGTGCAGCGTCCGTGCGCGAGGCGGCGGGCTGGGAGCCAAGTGCGGGCTCGCGCGGGCGTGGCGACGGGCAGATGAACGCATGCACTTCGTCTCGCCTGGTCGAGCTTGGTGCGCGCCGCCTCGCTCAGCTTGATGAAGCCGCTGCTCTCATAGTCCATTTCCATCGACTTCTTGGCAGCCGGCATCGGCGCTGGCGCCGGGGCATCGTCCTCCTGCATGACCGACGAGACGCGACGCACCGCTGCCGCGTGGTGCGGAATCGCTCCCGGCGAGCGGAAGGCAGCGGAAGGCGTGACCAGCATGGCGAGCATGTCCTGTGTGTTGGGGAATGGGCGGTGCCTAATTGCGGTGTCCCTAATTGCAAGCTGTGATTTGGCCGGCGCTTTTCTTTTCTTTCCGTTGCGCGGTACGAAGGGAGAGCGCTCAAAGGCCTTCCCGTCTCCGCACGCGAAATTCTTTTCTTCGCGATGTCCACCCCGGATTCGGTACTTCAGCTTGGTATAGTATCATTTATTGCAGATCATACCCCAGGGCTATACCCTGATACCCTCTTGTGTCTTGAGAGGACCCGCATTGGGCCCCTAGAGGATAGGCTGATACCCTGGTGGGTTACCCTTCACACCGGACACGACCCCCGTCTTCACACCTCTTCGCGCGCTGCGCGCGCGCCAAGACAGACAACGCGCTCGAATGAGCGTCGCGCAGGAGGGAGGCGAGCGCACCACTAAGCAATGCGCTGGGCGAGGAGGGCGCTAATGGCGGCCGTCGTCGCATTCGACGGGCCCGCTGCCGCAGCCGGTTCGGCTGCAGCCGCGGGAGGGGCCACGGCCTGCACGGCTGCGGCCGGGGCCGGCGTTGGCCTGACAAGCTTTTCCGGCAAACAAAAAGGAAAACAGAGGGGCCCCAGCAC